TCTTGGCTGGGTGCGGTGGCTCACACCTGTAATCCTAACACTTTGGGAAGCTGAGGTGGGCGGATCACCTGAGGTCAGGAGTTCAAAACCAGCTTGGCCAACATGGAGAAACTCCATCTCTAAAAAAAAAAATAAATAAATAAAATTAAAAAAGAAAAAAGAAAAAGAAAAAACTCTCTTAAAAAAATGAAAATCTAGGAAGCATCCATAATCCATATTGTAATTCAAGTAGAATTATAACTGTGAGGTCCCGCATTGGGTGTCCCAATACAAAATCTGTAAAAAAAAAAAAATTAAATAAAATGAAATTGGCAGAGCACAGAAGCGTACATGTGGGAAAGCTACTAGGTTTCAAATCTGGGAGTGTACACCCACCAGGATTGATTCTTATGAGATTTACAGCTTTCCCCATGCCAAGAAGTCGTTGGCGCTTGCAATCATACAAATGAGGAGAATGAAAGGATTGTGGAAATACCGACAGCCTTATAGCAGTCTGCTAAATATAGAGCTACACAGAGGCAAAAGAGAGATAATTCATGCATTAGAGTAAAACCAGCCAAACTTTCTTTGAATAGATCAGAGCATGCACAGGAAATAACAGGGTTGAAAAGCATGCAGCTTTTCTCCTTTACGGAAAAATTTGGCCTCAGATAAGTATTTATGTTTGTTGCAAAAAGCTGGGGGTGGGGAGTTATACATGTATTAAAGAATAGATATTTTGTAATACCATATCCCAACTAGAATAGTGCCGTGGAGTGAAGTTCGTATTTCCCAAAACACAGCCATGAAGCCAGAAAAGCCAATGTCTCAGTAAGATGCTTCTATGAAAAAAAAATCTGCAAAAGGCTAAAGAAACTATCCTGAGATTGTATGCTTTTATGCCAAGATACTATTTTTGAAGGATTAGCTAACCTACCTCTTTCTCTCACCGAATTTTCAAATAGAAACTTTGGCTTTAGGGGACCAGCCACATAATAGATTCAAGGGAGCACCTGTCTTGTTGGCTTTAATTCCAAGAAGATCAAACCCATTGATGACAATATGCTTGGTATTTCTGTGGAAGGAATTTCCTCAGGGAACTAAAAGTGTACAGCAGGAAATGGGTAGAAAGTCAGAGGACATTCAATACTACAAAAGAACTTGGTCCTGCTCTCTGATTCTGGGAAAAAAGACCTAGGGAGATGACATGTCCCTAGAGAGGTTTGACTGCATGGTGTGCCTAAGGTGAAGACAGCCGCCAGTGGCCTCTCATTCAATACAGATCAGAACTGGAAACCACAGCAGGACAAAGCAAATCTCACCTCCTTACGTGGACCAAATTCAAAGTCTAAATTCACTGCCACAGAAGCTAAAGACCAGAAAGTACCACCATCTCTCTGTGGAAGACTCTGCACTTGACAAGCACCCCAGAAAAAAACCGTGTGTAGTAGTTGGTTTGCTAAATAAACTGAGATGATGTTTTCTTCATTTTACTTTAACTAGAAAATTAGAGTTTAAAAAGTATAATTGTATTTCTTAAATGCCCAAGTTTAAAGACTGAGCTAAACACTAATGACTTTTGAAGATGGCCATCCAATAGGTGATCTAAGAAACCCTGAATTGGAGTGCATGCATAATTGTGTTTTATACTAATTTGCATGGAAATTTTTGATTAATGCAACCAAAAAGTTGAGTCCTCAATCTAGAGTCAGTATTAAGGTGATTACATCCAAAGGAGAGAGAAACAGTTGGAATCAAAACTAAATTAACAAATAAAAAAGCTGATGGAAAGTTACTTCAATTGCCAGAGAAACCAGAGTCTATACCCTATACAAGAGGTCAAACTGAAGCAGAGCTATGCTTCGAAGGAATTGTGTCTTAAGTAGAACCCCCATTATTCTCTACTTGGTACTTGTTTCTCTTTTACTGGTAAAAAATGATTTCCCATTTAAGAGCTTCCAAAAACCTTGTCATTGAGCCATGCAGGCTTCTGGCTCCAGGGCATCCAGGCTTGGCTGGTTTGCAGTCTGAGGCCCGCTGTTAATCTTTCCATGCATGTTCTTAGCGTTCTAAACTCTTCTACGTGAATACCCATAAAAACAGATTCGAGACAGCATCTTTCTTTTTGGTGTTAATTTCTAGACCAAATTCATTAAGGACAATACATTTGGTATTTCTGAGGAGGGAATTTCCTTAGGGGGCTCTTAGTGTTTGATGAGAATGCAATAGAGGGTCAGAGGACATTCAAGAAGATTCTGTCAACCAATTTCTGCACCTGTTCTTAGGATTCTAAACCTTTCTCAGCCTTGTGCCCCAAATGCCCTGGTTTAAAGCACTAATTCAATTTTTCCTGCAAGACGGTTAATGAGTGATAACTGATGACTTTGACTAATTTAAAGAAAATATTGACTTGCAAACAAACATCTCAAATGCTTTACACTTAACTCCAGTACCAGCAACATTGGGTGTGGATGATTCTTGAGAAGGCAGTCCTGTTTATTATAGAATATTTTTCAGCTTCTCTAGCCTCTACCACTAGATTCCAGTAGAATTTACCACCTCCCCAGGCTGCAACCACCAAAAAATGTTTCAAAATTCTGCTAAATATCATCTTGAGAGCAAAATTGCTCCCACAGGTAGCCATGGATTTATTTAATTTCAAAACTACTGACAGTAGGCAGAGTTGAAATCAGGGTTATGTTGAATAAGAGAAAAGATGATCACTACAAAAAGAAAACCAAGCAAAAACACAAGTTACCAGCATAGATACACCTAAGGGCAATTTTTCTGTGAATTTTGGAAAGGTATGTTAGCACTGTATTTTTGGGACTAGTAGCCAAAGGAACTTCTTAAGAAATGCAGACCTCAAATGAACCCTGACAATAACATATCTGATATGGTTTGGCTGTGTCTCCAGCCACATCTCATCTTGAATTGTAATAAGCCCTACATGTCAAGGGTGGTACCAGGTGGAGATAACTGAATTATTGGAGGCTGTTTCCCCATACTATTCTCCTGATAGTTCTCACAAGATACTATGTTTTTTAAGCATCTGGCATGTCCCTTGCTGGTTCATTCTCTCGTGCTTGCCATGACGTAAGACGTACCTTCTGCCTTCTGCCATGATGGTGAGGCCTCCCCAGCCACGTGAAACTGTAAGTCCATTAAATCACTTTCTTTTGTAAATTGCCCAGTCTCAGGTATGTCTTTATCAGCAGCATGAAAATAGACTAACACAACATCAATGCGGATGGATGTTACAATGACCCCCACTACATTGAATAGATCTTCTATGTGGGTCAGGTATGGTTTCAGGTGAGTTAAAAACCCCTTAAGATAAATGTCACCATGCTAAATGATGCTTTCATTTTGTTTAAAAGGTTAGTGAAAAAGTTATTTATCAAAGTTAGTTGCTTGGATAAATAAATTTCTATTTGAAGACATTAAAAGAAGCACCACCAACAAAAACCTAGTGAGCACAGTTAACTTAGTAAGACATGGTATTAGTTATAATATAGGTATTAGTTATAATAATAGGTATTAGTTATAATACCTTTAAAAAGCTAATATTTGGTCCAGGCACAGTAGCTCATGCCTGTAATCCCAGCACTTTGGTAGGCCAAGGCGGGCAGACCACTTAAGGTCATGAGATCGCGACCAGCCTGGCCAGCAGGGTGAAATTTTGTCTCTACTAAAAATACAAAAATTAACTGGGCACAGTGGCACATACCTGTAATCCGAGCTACCGGGGAGGCTGAGGCACAAGATTCACTTGAACCCAGGAAGCAGAGGTTGCAGTGTGCCGAGATCGTATCATTGCACTCCAGCCTGAGCAAAAGAATGAGACTCTGTCTCAAAATTTTAAGAAAAGTTTATATTTGGAGTTGGGAACAATGGCTTCTGAAGGTATATCTCATTCCATCTTGAATACATTAGGTAGACATGCTTTTTTAAAAATGTGAAACTGTTTTTTCCCTTCCCACGCTTTTAACATTTTTGTATTCTGTACTGAAGATCAAGAACTAAACATTTCACTTTTATGTTTCTCCCATAGGGTACTTTTAAATTAAGATGGTCTCTGGCTATTATATTTATTTTAATCTTTTGAGTTTGTTTTTCCCAACAATAAAGCCTGCAGTTTGCTAATGTACTGTCAGATGATGTTGAATATGCAGGAGACAGACCCATTATCTGTCTCAGTAAACAGATTTTTCTCATACCAAAAGCTGGAGACTAGGTCAATAAGCTTTTATGGCAACTTGTTAGATTTTTCTTAGGAAATCATAAAGATTTTTCTTTCTAGCTCATTTTCAAATTATATCAAATGATGAGAATTAACAATAAGAAAGAATTTTAGAACTAATATTTTGTCAAATTAGGATCATAAAACCAAGATTTAAATTGATTTTTAAAAATGTATATACCCAGTGTCTTAGGTCAAGTTTTCTAGAAGAGCCTGGAGAAGGGTTCTTGTGTATTCGATTTTTTTAGTAATAACAATAATCATAACATTTATTGAAGCCTTTGCATGTACTAGACATAATGCTAAACACCTCACTTGAATTAATTTAATTTTGAAAATAATCATATGAAGCAGGTTTTATTATAATAATTTATTTTTTAGATTTAGGGGTACATTTACTTATTATGTGAGTATATTGCATACTGGTGGGGATTCAGCTTCTAACATACCCATTACCCAAATAGTGAACAGTGTATACAATAGGTAACTTTTCAACCCTCCCGCCCCTCCCTTTTCCATTTTGGAGTCTTTGGTGTTCATTATCTCCATTTTTATGTCCATGTGTGTCTATCGTTTAGCTCCCACTTATAAGTGAGAACATACAGTATTTGATTTTCTGTTCTTGAATTAGTGGACTTAGGACAATGCCTTCCAGCTTCATCCATGTTATGGTTAAAGACCTGATTTCATTTTTTTATGGCTGCGCAGTTTTATTTTGGGGAGAGGGGTGGGGCTGCCCCAAAGGGTAGACAGGTTTATTTGGCAACAGCCAGGGAAATCAGCGGTTGGACTTGGCCACATGCTCCAGCTCGTCCTTCTTGATGGCATAGGAGTTGGAGGAGCTCTTGGTGACATTGATGACCTCATCTGCCAGGCACTCAGCAATGGTCTTGATGTTCCAGAAGGAAGCCTCAAGAGCACATGTGCAAAGCAGCCAGATGGCATGATTCACACGGTACAGTGGGGACATGTCCACAACCTGTCATCTCACAGTCCTCATTCACCCAATGCATGTGGACCACTGCTGATGAAGGTGTTCACCAGGACTTGCAGAGGGCTCTCGCCTGTGAGCAGGTGGATGATCTTGAACGCATGTTTGACGATGTGCACAGTCATGAGCTTCTTGCAGTTATTGCGGCCGTGAATCATCATGGAATTAGAGAGGCACTCCTCAACGGGGCACTGAGCTTTGTGGAAGTGTTTGGTGGCATACCACCCTGCACTGTGAGGCAGGTGCTTGGTATACTTCTCCTTCACTGCAATGCAATCTTGTGGGGAAATGTCGTTGATTTGCACATCACTGGTGCTCCACTTTCCAAAGAGCTTGATGTCAGGGGTCTCTGCCACGACTGGTGCTGTTGTCTGCCACTTGGTCATCCTGAGAGCACAATCTGAGCATCTCTATCGCTTGGCATGGACTGTGCTCCACCGTGGCACAGACAGGAAGAGTGGCTCTGTAGTTTTCTATTGTGTATATGTACCACATTTTCTTTATCCAGTAAACCATCGATGGACATGATTTTCTGAAAGAGATCTCTCAGGAGAAGGGCAGTACAACAAGCGAGGGACGGGAGAGTGGAGAACTAGAGTGGACACGGTCCGACCTGGAGTTGTATTTCAACTTGCATTTCAAACTTCGTCCCATCTTGAGGCAAAATAGCTGATCTATGTTCTCCAGGGGATGCAAAATCGCTGCATTGAGATGATATCGATGAAGTATTTTAATGGTAAAGAAAAGTGGTTATGATGTGTGATAAGTGAATCACAGACTAGACACAAATCTACCACCAACACAGTCTTAACCAAGTGAAGTGAACCAGTGAACAAGGGCACGTTCACTACAGTAGAACAAGAATACCTAGTATGTGCTCAAAATCTTGTTTAGCAAGCCAAGTAAGGTATACACTGAACAATTTAGTTTCTGTCCTTTCAAAAGGGGTTGATAAATTATGATCCATGACCAAATCCAACTGACCATCTGTTTTGTAAATAAAATTTTATTGGAACACTGCATCTATGGCTGCTTTTGTACAATAGCAGAATGAAATAGTCTCTACTATGAAAGGTTTAAAAGAGAGCATGTGGTGAAGAAATCACTCCCAACTCTTACAATGCTATTGTCACTTCTACAATTCACTTTATTTTCCATCAGAATCACAACTAATCCTTGTAGGCTCTTATTACAAAGAAAGAAAATGAGACATAGTAATTAAAGTGAATTGCCTAAGTCCCTATAACTCTCTCAAAGCATGTGGAACCAGACATATGTGTGATTTTCAATATGCAACCTTTACAATCAATTCACTGCTTCCAAGAAATCAGTAATTATCTATTTTCAGGTATATCCCAGGTTTCCAGAGTGAAACTAGGGAGTAGAAAAGGTTGCATATAAAGGTTCATTAGGTTTTAGTGGTATTATAGCTTTCATACAGGACTAGTTTGCTCAAGTATTTTTTATTATTTGTGGACAATGCAGTTAAGATAAATCCTACCAGGAGATTATGCAAATTTCATGTTTGAATGCATTTACTTTGTGTATTGCAAGCTCATATAACTTCTTGTGCAGGGATTCTTTTACTAGAAGTAAGAATGTAAAGCTTACCAGAATTCATTATTTGCATTCCTTAAGATGAGAAATCTTGTGCTTTTGGATTCTATTACATAATTCTGTGCTGTGGAGCAAAAACAATCTGTAACAGACATTTTATTCCACTTGTTTTTACTGTATTTAGTGTAGTCCTATAGATGTAGGCTAGAGAAAAAAAATTAAAGTAGCTGAATAAAATATACTTTCTATGTTTTTTTGGGGGAGATCCTTACGAATGAAATGCAAGTAGTTTTGTAAGTATATGAAAGGCAACGTCTCGTGGTGTTTCTCTGTATTCTTTCAAATAACTATTATCTTCTTTAATACCTGAGCATGAATGATGGAACTCAGGATTGGTAGGTACGATGGCTTAGGCTAGACCAGAAGAAGGACAGAGCAGAGTTATGATCCCTTCTGAAATGGTTGGCAGGTGATATTTAGAACTAGGCTGGTCTGAGGCCAGGCGCAGTGACTCACACCTGTAATTCTAGCATTTTGGGAGGCCAAGACAGGAAGATTACTTGAGCCCTGGAGTTCAAGACTAGCCTGGGCTGGAATTCAACTGTGCCAGTGTCATTTAAGGCTAACAGTGAGGCAGGATATTTCCCTGACCCCTTCATGGGTGGGAACTGGAGTGAATAAGTGCTGGCAGGGGCAAACTCCACTCACTGCTCCACCCCTCGTGTGAGTGCAGGTGAGGGAGTGCAGTAGCTGGGGCAAGTGGTTTTGGGTGCCAGCAAGAGCGAACTCCATACTGGCCCCATGGCAGCCTCTAGGGAAGAGTGCCTGTGGCTCCTAAAACCCCAGAAGAAGTGTTACAGTACCCATTTAGTTTTGCCACCTGCAGGCGGTTTAAGTGTTTACAGCTCCGTAGAGGGTCAGCATGACAGCCTTCTGTACTGACACTCATGGCACCCAGGTTCTCCTCTGGTGTCCAGTAGGAATGAGATTGCACTAATGAATTGAAGATGGAAAATATGGGGAATTTTATTGCCAGTGAAAATGGTTCTCAGTAGGAACGGGAGCTGAAAAGGAGATGAAGTGCTAAAGTCAGCTTCCCCTGGAGTCAGTCTGTCCTTCAGAAGTCAAGCCACTTCTCTCCAATGACCAGCTGCAGTCTCTGACATCCACCTGCTTCTCCTCCCTGCTGGCTGAACCTGGGATTTTTCTGGGCACAGGATGAGGAGATAGGGTGGGCCATGGGTGATTTTGGAAAAGGCAAAATTCGAGGGGGAATAACAAGGATGTAAGTTCTCACTTTGGGCTATCATTCCAGGCTTTTTGGTTTGAGGGTGGAGCCCGCACTGGGGACCCGCCTTTTTCTGCCAAGAATTTCCCTGCCTCCTGTTTCTATCAACAGTATAGAAAGGAGCCATACCAATTGGACTGTGGTTCTCCAGAAAGTTCTGCATCAGGAATTAGAGTTAAGATAGATGAAAATGTTCAAGAGAAGAGAAAGGCTGTCTAGCATGGGCTCAGCTAAATCATACCGATTTAGTAAACCCTTAAGCCCCCAAGCTGCAGGCTTCATTATTAAGGCTCTGAAGCTGAGTTGGAAGACTCTTCCCTTAACATGAGGTCATCATTCCCAAAAGAACACCTAGCACATTGTGATTGACTGAGCCTAAGAATCTAAGAATTAGGGACTACCAGCTTTCTCATTCTTGTAGTCTCGTTACCCTAAGTTGAAACAAAAGTGTCTCAACAATGAGAAGAGGACCTTATTTTCAGGAACTTAATGGTCCAATAGGACCATAAGGACAACACAGCATGCATTTCATAGAAGCTTGGAGAAAAGCATTCTGTACTCTGACTACAGAAAATTAGTAGTCTATTGGGATAAGAAGATGTTTGATCAGGTCTCCAAGATGAGGCATGAGCTCAGTAACTAGATTATGGGAAACAAGGTTTCCAGGAGAGGGTTACGTTGAAGGTCAAAGATACAAGCATTTTATACCCTATTCTCCAAGCCCTAAGATGTGTTGCTTATCTGAAACATAGAATATATAATAGAAAGTAATGGAATCTAAGCCTAGTAGGATAACCAGATGACAGCTCTGCTAATGAGTGCAGAGGAAGCCTTGCTGCTTAATGGCTGCTATGTCTTTATTTTTTGGGAATCCTTAAGAATGAAATGCAGTTCTGTACAAACATGAAATGCAAGCTCTTAGTTCTGTTTCAATGTGTTCTTTCAAATACCTGTTATGCCCCTCAATGAGGTTAAGGAAAAACAAAAAGAAAAGGGAAAATGTAACACAGTTCTTGAAAATGGCCTGTAGACTGGGTGCAGTGGCTTGTGCCTGTAATCCTAGCATTTTGGGAGACTGAGGTTGGTGGATTGTTTGAGCCCAGGAATTTGAGACCAGCCTGGGCAACATAGTGTGACCTTGTATCTAATAAAAAAAAAAATAGCTGATTATGGTGGCACATGCCTGTAGTCCCAGGCACTTGAGAGGCTGAGGTGGGAGTATCACCTGATCCTGGGAGGTCAAAGTCACAGTGAGCCATGATAGTGACATTGCACTCTAGCCTGGGCAACACAGTGAGACTCTCTCTCTAAAAAAAAAATGGCCTGTAACTAAAATTTGCATTATAAAATTACTGAGTATTTTGGAGCTCACTCATAACTTAGTAAGAAAAATGAATATCAGTAGTGGTTTTACAATTTTTGGTGGCATAGACTCTCTTAATGTATTTTATGGATAGTTTAATGTTCCTTCAAGAGAAAACCCCCACATACACACAGGAGACACATCATAGGGACTCTAATTATCTAATGGACACAAGTTAAAAATCTAATTTTATTTTTTAAGATGAGAAAAATCATTTCTGTTGGGGCAATTCTTTCTGGGATGTGCCCCATTTGACAGAGAGAAATGGGAAAGAGTTATATGTGAAATCCTGTGCTGTAAGTTTTTATGTGTATCATCACCGGCTGGTTTTATCTGACCTTTCCTTGAGGCTTCTCTCTCAAGATGTCCAGTTACTTAGGCTCTAGGCTGAATCTGCATCATGGCATTTTGGTCTCTATAATTTTTCCAGCTGGGAGAGGTCTATTATTAGTAACAATCATAATAATCTGGCTTGGTTTTATGGTCAATTTTCCCTTCTGCACAACTCAGGAGATTTCAGATGATTTCCATCAAGAGGAAAACTTCTCAAGAAGAAAAGCATGTTTGAACTCTGGATCAGGGATTGTCAAACTTTTTCTGGAAAGGGCTGTATAGCAAGTATTTTTGGCTTTGTGGGACATATAGTTTCTGCCACAACTACTCCACTATGCTGTTGTAGTATGAACATGCCATAGATGATACATAAACAGATGGACCTGGCTGTGTTCCAATAAACTTTATTTACAAAAAAGCAGGTGGAGGGCCACAGATTGACCAGAACTACTCTAGACTCTAGATACTCTTCTTTTTTTTTTTAATCTTTCTTTTTTTTTTTTTAATTGCATTTTAGGTTTTGGGGTATATGTGATATTCTTAATTAAATGCACATATACAGATATATCTGTCTGCAAATATCCATGGTCAAATTTTATTACAATAAAAAGTTTTATTTGTTGTTATTTGAAGGAAGCATAGTTTGTGTTGGCTTTTGACAAAATCAAGAGTGTGAAAAGAAGATCTTTTCCCTGGCAACCCTTTAAGGTTAAAATTCAAATGGGGCATTCTTTAGTTGATTTCGCTTGACTATAATACTAATTCTTTATTCTTTATAGATTTATTGACATGGAGTCTCACTATGTCACCCAGGCTGGAGTGTAGTGGTGCCATCTCAGCTCACT